CGCCGCGCCGAAGGCAGGAGCGAAGCCTTTGCCCGACGGCGCGGGCGGAAGGGGAAGGCGCGGCCGGCTGCAGCGGCGAGCGCGAAGAGAGGCCGGACGGTGGGAGCGAATGGGGAAAGGACTGGACGAGCGAGGGAGGCAGAAGGATGTGGGCAACAAAAGGAGAGACGGAAGGAAGGAAGGAAAGAAAGAAAGAGGAAGAGCTAGTGGGTTTGGGCGGAGGCTGGTAGAGCCGAAAGGATCGCGCGAAGAAACCAGCAGAAAAAGTACAAGTAGAAAAGGAATATGACGAAGTTGAAACCGGGAGACGTGCAGAAGAGAGAAGAGGTTTGATAAGATCCAGAACTTTCTGTCTGGGAAGCTCAAAGCGCCTCTGAGCATTAGCAGAGCGCGCTTGCGCTTGGTGCACCCAGTCCCTGTGCTTCTGGGAATGAGAGGGAAGGGCCTCCATCAGATCTTTTTTTAAAAAAAAGTCAGACCTCTCACTTTTTGGAGATCAACCCTGAGAAGTAAAAATGAGAAGAGAAACCATGGAGAAGAAAGGTGAAGCCAGAATTTTTAAAAAAGGAAGCAGCATTTTGCAGAAATAAATAATAATCATGGGCTTCGGAGTCAATTCTGATGTATAGCAACCCTTTTTAGGGTTTTCCAGGTACAGAATATTCAGAAGGGATTCACCATTCCCTTTTTTGTGGGGGTGTCCTGGACTGTGCAGCTTGTCCAAGGCCACACACAGACTGGCTCTGCTCACAGGAGACACCTCTGGGGAACTGAACTTTCAACTTCTGGCTCTGCAGACAGATATCTAAAACACTAAATTCTCCAGTCCACTAATTGCAGAAAGGGTGGGCGTAAAAAAGAAGGTGAGTGTGAGGAAGGAAGAGAAGTTCAGATGAAGAAAAGCTTGTGAAAGGAAACCAGGAATGTTAAGTACAGTGGGGTCTTGACTTGAGAACTTAATCCGTATTGGAAGGCGGTTCTCAAGTCAAAAAGTCTGTAAGTCAAGTCTCCATTGACCTACAGTGCATTGAAAACCGATTAATCCCGTAACAGGCCGTTTTTGTTCCATTTTCGTTTTTTTCTGGTCTGTAAGTCAAATCTCAGTCTGCAAGTCAAACCTAAATTTTGCGGCCAGAGAAGTCTGTTACTCAAAAAGTCTGTAAGTCAAGCCGTCTGTAAGTCAAGGGTCCACTGTATGGAATAAGACTAATATGACAACACATTTCTTGAAATCACACACAAGAAACAAAAGAGAAGGCTGGAGTTACTTAAGCATTAATCTTTATATTCCAAAGACAGAATCCATGTGTTTCCTTAATTCTTTGTTACATGTCTTGCTCCCGTCTCTAAATGCTTTGAAATCTTCTTTGTTGAAAGACAGCATATAGTAAATAGGATCAGGATGAAGGTATTTGATGTCCATATAGAGAATCAAAGATTTGTAGAGTTGGAAGGGATATTTCATCAGGACTGACCCCTTACTAATGCAGGAAATTCACCCCTGTGAGATAGCTATCTATCATCTTGTGATAACCTTCAACAAAGGAGAGTCTTCCACCTTATAAAAATAGTCATTTCCATTGTCAAAGAACTATTCCCATCAAGAGGTTCTTCCTAATGTTTAGGCAAATTTCTGTGTAGGAAAAATGAGTGAGTTTCCTTTTGAGCTCTTCACTAGTAAGACGAGAAGCTTCTGCTGCTGCTCCACAGGATCTTTGCTTCAGTGCAGTTGATCTCCAACAGAGCTTGCAGCCACATTTCCAGCTGAGCAGGGTTGTGTCAGAGATCACTTCATCTCTGGCATACATGGAGTCCATTTCCTTCCCTCCCTCTTATGGCCTGCCCTTGCCTCAGTGATGCAAATGGAATGGGAAATGTTGAGTAGTTCAGCTTGCCGTCTTAGTTGAAAACCAGCTGATATAGAAGTACAAAGCTATAGTTCAAATGGGCCTTCCTTCCAATGAAGCCTGGTTAGATGCACAACATAATGCAGTAATAATCAGAAGGTCCTTCAACACAAGACTCAGGGTGTGACTGCACTGGCTATTTACACTAGCAGTAGGTATGGCATAGATAAAATCAATTTTAAAAAAACAAAAAGTGACATAAAGCTAAGCACAAGGAAATCTGGTAATTTGCATAGGGGATAAATTATCTTTTTGGTTACCTAACAGGGAGTAGTTTATTTTGCTTTGATTGGCCTGGCACTGCTTTTCTCAACTTTCTGGTGTGTGTGATCATCTGATCCAAATCAATGAATCAGTCACATGGGTGTCTGTGGGTGCACTGTTGCATTAATTCCATGCAACTGGGCACCTGTTGTCTTCTTTTATCCAGACAACTTTTCTACTCGTTTTCTTTATGCTTGTCAAAGTTAGTGATGTATGGGTAAGTGCTATGTCACTTCAGAAAAAAAAATATTTAAAAAGAAAAGAAAAAGCAGACAACAGGAAGAGTTGGTCCAGATGGAAATTGCCAATATCAGCAAAGATGTCTCTTTTCCTCCCATTTACAGCTTTCTGCCTCAGCCCTTGCAACACAATAATTGATTGTACTAGTGTGGATGCCTAGAGCAACTTTACCTGCAGAAACTAGGTAAAGTTTGAGAAACTTTGAAAGAAACAAATTTTTCCCCCACTGTGTAATTGCACTCTTATTGAAATGAGTGGAAGTGGAATCATTTCTGTGCTTTCATTTGTTTCTCTGAGGCTTACACTGCAGAATGTCCTACTCCATGGTTCCCAAAGTAAGATTGATTCTGAATGCCCCAAATTGCCATTATTTGGGGATCAAAATAGGTGTGCTTTCAGTCCCATCTATTTCACTTTGCCATGGGAAGCATGCTTGGCCAGTCCATTATTTTTTCTGTATTGTTAGTTCATACATGGATGAGATGTATTCTCTTGAAACAAGTTCCAAGTTAAATTTGCACTTGGATTTTCAGGTGCATTTCAAGAGAACAGCAATACAGAGTTACCTCTCCTATCCATGCAACTGTGTGGGCTGGCAGCTCAAAAAGGTCAGGGCTCTTTAACATGACACTTGGCTGGGGACTTTTCTTTCTCTTTCTCTCTCAGCTATAATATCTAATTCAGAACATCACCCTTGATAAGTGGGGATTATATTTTCCATTTAGATTTATTATCTCTGACTTTTCACTTTGACTTCTGCTTTGAACTTCTTTTTTTAGAAAATGTGCTCCTTAACTTTTGACCCCTTTCACCAGATTGTTAATGAAGGCAGTTGTACGTAATAACAGCCTTTAAACTTCCAGCTTTATGGAACAAAGGAATATCTTGACACTAGAACAATTCACTTCCTTTGGGTCCCCGGGTAGAATTAGGAGAAGATACAGGGTAGAATTAGGAGAAGATACAGTGTCAGTCGGGTTGGATATGAGCAGATCATTGTATGCCTTCATCCTTTCATTATGTCTAAGGACGAATTCTCTTGCTTTAATATATTAGGTTGCATATCTGTCAAGCGGTCAGATGCAAATGTTGGCAAGCTCCCATATGCAGAGACAGTCTGGAGAAATCATAATGTTCCCAGCCAGCTGTTGTTTGAACACAATCCCCCGTTGTCTCCAGTCAGCATGGCCAAATGTTTGGTGATCATAGGAATTGTAGTGCTACCATATTTGGGCACTATTGAACAGAGAGTTGGTCTCTATCCTGCCTAGACTAGAATAGTACAGCACTGGCTGTTGTGATTGTTTTAATTGCCAATGATTATGTCCTCCTTTTATTATGTGCAGTCTCTATTCATTGTCTGTATTTTTAATTTACTGCACATGGCCCAGAGAACTCTGGTTACTCGGCATTCTAAAATTGCAATTAAAACTGAATAAATTACAGCTAGTGGATTGGGGTTGGCTTTATCATGCACTTGCTTCCCAGCCCAACCCACATGCATTTAAGCAAATAATAAAACCAGCAAACATTGTACTTAGATAAGTGATGAAATACCCAACTGATACCATCGCCTTCTGTCAGTGGCTCACATGCTAGTAGTAGCAAGGAAGTTAGTCCAAAGGACAGATGAAGGGACAGGAAGATAAAATTAGCATGTTTAGGTTAGCTCCAAAAGTGCAGGTCCCTTGCTCAACAATCCCTGTTGTTGCTTTTTTACTTGAAAAGGCACCTTGGACAAACTGGAGGTTCAAAGAGCACTTGCATCAAATTTTCAATGGGCCTGATCTATTTTCAGTTTGGGTATTTTTCTTCCCTAAACCCCAGAACTGAATTCTAGGCTTTCCCACTTTTGAACCTCCTGCACCTAAAACTGGAAGGAGCTGGATCAAATAGGGTCACTTGAGTTCTGATATGCTGTTTGGACATGAGGATTTCACCAAATGGCATTTTCACTCCCACCTGACCCCCAAGCAACCCTATTTAGCCTTCACCAACCCCAATCTAAAATGACCAGTGTAGGTGGTCCTGAGTCAAAATTAGAATAGGCCCACTTGAATTCATCAGAGGAGTTGACTCACCAAATCCTCACTGATTCAATGGCTACACTCTAGAGCAGACCTGGGCAAAGTGTGGCCTGAGGGCCACATACGGCCCGTGAGCCACTCCTGTCCGGCCCG